AAAGCCCATAATGGAGCCCATAACTTCTGAAGGTAAGTTGTTCCACTGATCAATTGTTCTAACTGACATGAAATTCTCCTTGATTCTAAATTGCTTCTGTCCTTGATTAGTTTCCATCAATTGTTTCTTGTCTTGCCTTCTGATACTTTGAAAAATAGACTGACCTCTCTTCTTTGTGGCAGCCCGTGAAATATTGGAACACTGCTATCGTATCAGCCCAGTCCTTCTTTTCACTAGACTAGACCAGTGGTGGGTTGCAGGCAGTATGCCCCAGTATGGGCATACCGGTGCTTGCCGGGAGCACTGAATACTGTTCTGGTATGGTGATGTGGAGGGCCCATCCGCCCACCCACCATCCTTACCTGTATTTGAGCTCTTCGGTGCTTCCGCTGAGCAGCTGGAGCGTTGCGGAGGCATCACAGAGGCGTAACAGAGCGTTGCAAGAGGTAAGGACACATGCGCGTGCTGCGTGTGTATGCTGCGTGCGTTCATGTGGTGAATGTCGGGCCCCGTTGCACCATACCGGTTGCACCAGGATCCGGAACCCACCACTGGATTAGACATACCAATTCCTGCAACTATTCTTCATATATTTTAATCTCCAGGCCTCTAATCATGTTTGTTACTCTTTTCTGTACTATTTCCAGAGTCTCAACATTTTTTATAAAGATTTTATATAACTTTTTAAAATGCTTTTGTATAGTAACTTTGCATTATCTGGAGAAATCCAAACAAATGTAATCTACTTTTTGAAAGAGACACATTATTTTGCTATAAGCATTTTACTGATAATTTTCCAAAGCAACTCTGATTAACTGTCTTACACTATGTAAGAAACCTCCATGGCAAGTAGTGGAGTAAAAATATACCAGGTACATCTTTTACTATAAGAATTATTGTTATTATTGTTCATTTTTTTCATACTTTTTACTTATTTGATTTATATTTCAATCAAGCCAAAACAACTCTCATTAATCATCTTTCATTAGATAAGATACTTCTAAGAAAAGTATTTAAATAAAAAAACAAATAGAAACTGACATGATCATAAAAACCAAAGTATACCAAGATAAAAAGAAGGAACAGAAGATGGCCAAGACTGTTGGTGCAGTGGTTAAAATGACATATTACAGGCTAACTCTGTTTATATCCTGGAGTTTGATCCTGACCAGCTCAAGGTTGACTCAGCCCATCCTTCCAAGGTCGATAAAATAAGAACCCAGATTGTGGGACCAATATGCTGACATTGTAAACCACTTCGAAAGGGCTGTAAAGTCATATGGAGCGGTATATAAGTCTAAATGCTATTGCTACATTATATTGTGGTAATATGGGTGGCAGGAAAGATTGCTGCATTCATACAGTAAATTAAAGACACTTATTAAATAAATTATTAAAAGCCTTTCCTACTGTATGCGATCTATACATGCTTTCACAACCCCCCACCCCGCAAAACAAAATTATCAGATTTGTTTAGATGCTAAAATATTCCTCCCATAGCCGTGTTACATATCTGTTTTAATGAAAACTACGTTCACTAAATGCAATGTTCTAAGAAATGTAATTGTATTTCTACCAAACCTTGATCAAAGAACTGCAAATTAGGGTGGTTTTCAAAATACCTTGGATATATTTGCCACTTTGACATATTTTAAACCTCGATGTTGTGACCGAAACAACCTTTTTTCATGCAAAGTGCGTACTTTATTACTTCATTAGAGACCTGATTGAGAAGTCATGCATTTCTAGAGACTGCAAGGAGTTCTAAATCATAAAATACACCACCTTTCTAGAAGTTCATCTATGAATTCAGAATATCATTTTATGATTTACTTTACACCTGTAGGTTCATTTACTTTGATTTTAGAATCCACTCTTACAATTAAATTTCTCATTCCGGAGTCCCCTATAACATTTTTTTGTAGGTGGGTTTCTCTCTTTTGTTTAAATTTTTGGCAAAATCAAATTAAACATGCCAGGCAAAACAAACCCTTTCATATGACCAAGACTACTTCCCTTGGAACATTATTCTCCCTTTGTGAGAGAGTTCTCAAGTCAAGCCTAGATTATTTAAATGAGCTATCTTTAGGCAATAAGTTAATTTAAATACAGAAAAAATTAAAAATATTGCATAGATGAAGAACAAAATGTTATATATTAAAATTAAGAACATAAAATTTAATTATTGATTATTTAAATATTACACACTTCTTTCCCATCAATACATTTGTATTGTTTTATACAAGAAATGTTATTGAAGAATGGCATATGCATGGTCCTGCACCATTTTCTTACTAGAGTTAAGAGTCCTTTGCCTCCAAAATTCCACAAACATTAAAATTCAATCGAAAGATAAATGAGATGGATACAGTAGTGCAAAAAGAGGCAAAGGTTCTTGATCTCTATGCTATTTTAACATAGTCACCATCACTTTTATAATGATGATGGCAAGAAACACAGTTCTTTCCATTTTCTTTTCTCAATTCTTTTGGAAATATGCAAAAATCTGTTTTGGGAATCTGTTCTCCCTTCTGAATAGCAAATAACATGAGCAGATGATAGCCACAGGAAACAGCATTTTTTGCTGACTAGCAAATAATCTCTATCTTGACATTAACCAACATGACTATGAAATACGTAAGCAGAAACAGCATACCCTTGTCAAATTTTCTAAGATATTTAATTTCACTGTATGAAACAAAGAACTGTTCCTTTTATAACCACAGCTATTTTTCCTGTAGAAGAAAATATTTAGCTCTCTCAGTATGTTTCTTCTCATATATTTTTTTTTATAGCTACCAGAGGCTTTCTTTTTTCTTCTTTGCTGCTACTTAGTAGTCAGTTATTTCAAATATTCCCATTCTACTTCCAAAAACCGTAAAAACAAATTCCTTTCAAACTATAGGACAGTGATGGGCAACCTGTTCGGCACCAAGCGCCAAAAAGGAAGCACACTTCGAAATTCGTGCATGCTTGTCGGGGCCGCAATCCGGAAGAGGAGCTGCCCAGGGTGCATGCGTGTGCCAACTTCCCATTTCTGGTGTGCACATGTGCACCCACAAGGTAGTCTTCCAGTTTCTGGAGTGCATGCATGCACGACGATCAATTGGCCAGCTCTTCCAGTTTCAGGCATTGCCAGCTACATGCGCATTAGAATCTGGAAGAGGAACAGGCACCGCCACGCATGCCAGGTGACATGGCTCTGTGTGCCACTTTGGGCACATGTGTCATAGGTTCACCATCATGGCTCTAGGATATGCATGGAACACCAATTTCCGCCCCTCTATCTTTGGATACATTTCAACAAATAAATAAAAAATCCATATTCAAATTAATTGTCTGCCTTCCTTCATCCCTATTTCTGAATGACCCACCTGCAATGTTCTTTGCACCTGCCGCAAGGGATGGAAAGAGTCCCTCATCTCTCTTTCTTGCTATTCTTGCATTGTGTCAGCTGTTTCCAAACTGCTGAATTAACATGCTGCAAACTTTAACCACGTAACACGGTTTCCTAATTCTGCCAGAACGATCCACTGAAGCTGACTGACCTCCCTTTCTTTCATCTCAGTGGAGTAATGAAAAGCTGAAGTACGTAGACTTCTTATGTTCGTTCCTCATAATTTTCAGCTTCTGGATTTCTACTGGGAAATCTTTTCTCCACTGGAAATATTATTCTCCCAGACATACTAACTGCAGATAGTCTCTAACAGACCATGTATTAGATCCTTGTTCATATTTTTCAGTACCTTTCAGTACCCTTTCAATATACACTATGCTTTTCATGTCTCAATATTTTCATATTTTCCTCAGTATTTCTTCAATTTTTGCATTTTTACCTGTGCTGCCAGACCCTCTAAACTTATGAAAGGCTTTTAATTCTGTGATACTAAATACAGTGCTGCCAAAGTGAGCCTGTAAATGACTTATTTACATCAGCCATCCTGAGTCTGAAGCTGTATTTTTATAACTGCCCAACTAGAAATGGTTACCTTTTTGACCATAAAGTAAGAAACATGTTTGCTACAAAGTGTGTGTGTGTGAGAGAGAAAGGGGGTGGTGGTGGTGGAGAGAGATGCATGCTCTTGGCACTGTAAAGCAGGGGTGCCAAACTGGATTTCTTTGAGGGCTGGATCAGCATTGGAGTTCTCATCTGTGGACCAGCGGGGTGGTGGTGGCAGAGATGGGACAGACGCTCCTGCAGCACCTTGCAGCCAAAACATAGCATGAAGGGGGGGGGGGNCTGATGCGACCCTTGATGAAATCGAGTTTGACACCCCTGGCATTAGGTCTCCTATGCATGTGGGACTTGTTGCATTTCCCTTAAAGACGACTCCGTGTTCTCTTTTCTTTTTCCTAACGTGGCGTTTGCTTCCCTCTACAGCTTATCACTGGGACACTTCTGACTGGATGCCGAGCGCGCGTTTATCTGACATTGAGGAGGTGCCCCACTACGAGGCGGCCGATGGCAGCACAGCTCACCACGGCAGCACCAGGGAGCTGGAGACGGATTACTACCTTGGTGGTTACGATATTGATAGTGACTACCCTCCACCGCATGAGGAGGAGTTTTTAAACCAAGACCAATTGCCCCCTCCCCTCCCGGAGGATTACCCAGACCACTACGAAGCCCTCCCGCCCTCCCAGCCAATCTCCATGGCCAGCACACTGAGCCCAGATTGCCAGAGGCGGCCGCAGTTTCACCCGAGCCAATACCTCCCTCCTCACCAGTTCCCCAACGAGGTGGACAACGGTGGGTCTCAGACTGGGAACGAATTTAGTACTTTTGGCGTTGGCCCGGGACCAAATACAGGCAACAGTATGGCCAAGAAACCCTTGGCTTTACACAATTCTCTGGACGCATCCTCGTCCGATGTTTCAATGGGGTGTGGTTTTGACGATTCTGAGATTGCCATGAGTGACTATGAAAGCATCGAGGACTTCTCTCTGGATCACCATCAGATTCACATTCCTTTTGTGGAGATCCATCAGCAGACTCAAGTGTGAAGGAGCTCTTTTCATTGGACTTCGTTGCTGTCATTTGGGTCCCGTTCATAGCCTAACTCAACAACTCTTCTCTTTTTGCGTCATAAGTGTTCTACATCGGGGACGGGGTTGAGATCCAACCATTTTCAGCCTGCCAAGGAGATGGATGTGGTGCATGCACATAACAGGGTGAAAACTGCAGGTTGTCTCGGAAAACCCAAGGTCATCCATTCATTAGTCTTTGGAGTTAGCATTACCCGCTTGTTGCCAAAAGAAAGATGACCTGGCGGAAAAATGGTTTGATGGCAGACTGAGCCTTCCCCTTTGCAGCCTTGCGTTCTAAACCATTTTAAACCCTGGACCAGTTAAATCAATAAAGGAAAGGATAGCTGGTAATTTCCCTCCCTAAAACCTTTTTAAATCAGTTCGTTCAGAGTTCATTAAATGTCATATTTCTACATTGCCTCTTATGTTGGCTGATTGCGTTGAAGGCACTCACTCATCAACACAGCATTAAGCCAATCTTCCTCAGCTTGATACTTTACGCAAGAGTATTAAGCAACACTTCCCATAATTGCTAATCGGCATGCTTCTCGGTCATTCAGTCTACGGATAATGGGAGTTGTAGTCCAAGACACCAAGAGGACGTCCAATCAGGAGTGGTTCCAACTCGTGCTTATTGCTCTAACACTAAAAGAAACAGGGAATTAAGAGTTAATTTGGCCATCATGATGAGTCAAGTGGTGGGTATTAACATGCCCCCTTAATCCAACAATGTTTGCCACTGAGCCATCAGCGCTGGCTCTTGTATAAACAGCGGAGTGTCAACCTGGAATTTAACACCTGGCTGACCTTGATTCAGGGCTAATGCTGCAGCCTTGAGTGGGTCAGGAGTAGAAAAATGGAATGGCCCTGATGGATGTGTTGGTTGCTTATTTATTTATTTATTCGTCGGGTTCCCTGTCCTCTTCTGACCCTCGATTCTTAGGACACATCAACGGCAATGTGGTGTTTTTTTTCATTCATCTTTAAATGTCATTTACCCTATAGTTCAGTGGTGAAATTCACATTTTTTTTTACTACCAGTTCTGTGGGCGTGGCAGGGGAAGGATACTGCAAAATCCCCTTTCCCTCCCCACTCCTGGGGAAAGGATATTGCAAAATCCCCATTTCCTCCCCACTCCTAGGGGAAGGATACTGCAAAATCTCCATTCCAACTCCACCCCGGAGCCAGGCAGAGGTGGTATTTGCCGGTTGTGTGAACTACTCAAATTTTCCGCTACCGGTTCTCCAGAACCTGTCAGAACCTGCTGAATTTCACCCCTGCTATAGTCGGTAATGACTAGCTGAATAATATCCACAGATACACTTTTACCTTTAAATACCTTTAAAATACGTGTTTAAAGAGAGTGCCATTGTAGCTGTTGACTCCATCGCCACCAGGTATTTTAGAAGCGGTTGGGGGGGAAGAAACCTCAGCCATATGATCTTTTCCCCATGTTTTGAACACGGTTGCCACATTCCTTGTCTCCCTGGAATTCAGTCTTTCTATCTTGCATGGAAGAAAATGCCAGGAGAAGCCAGCCTGCCAGCAACTGAAATGAAAAAAGAAATCAATAATTACTGGTGAAAGGGAATTATGGTTTAGGGATGTCCCCGCAGGTCTTTCGTGGGATTGGTCTGTGGGGGTGGGAGGAGGGGGGGGGTCAGACAAAGTCAAGGTGGGGGCTGCAACCATGTAACTTAAGGCTCATTCATTTTTCGTGTGTTTGTGTGTGTTGCACATATACGACACATGAAAGGTGTAGCTTTGATTACCTCACAACAGGTTGCCTTCTTGACTTTCGTGTACTACACATCCCCTTTGCAACACACCCGTTTCTCAACCGTATCTTGTTTGTTGAATGAGTGCTTCCATCCCAACAGATAGATTTCCTAAAGTTTCTCTACCCCAAGTGACAAATTTTATTTTTACTTGGCTTGATAAATTAAATACTTCTGGTGTCCTCACGCTAATCCTCACTCTTACTTCAGCCTCGGAGGATACCGATTAATAGATCATATCAAGCCAAGTGTTTCAATCAAATGCCACGCAATAAGCAAGGGGAGCAACTTTATTTTACAAAGGTTATCTAAATTTTACTTTGGAAGTTGAAGGAATCTGTGGATGACAACTCCCGTTGTAAGTCTAAATTTTATGTTGGGAATTGAACGAATCTGTTGTTTACAACTCCCGTTTCAGGCTATAAGAATATTGTAACTAAGGGTTATGTTAATAAGAAATGGTCTGGTTAGAAAAATGTATGTAAAAAATTATTTTTCAAGCCAAGACAGTACACGGCCGGTATGAATATTCTGAATAGTACAAACTTTAACATGTGCTTCCTGTTCAGTGATTTCCCCCCCCCCCCTTTTGGCCTTCGCTTTCAAATATGGCAGACATTCTTTTATAATGCATTTATAAAATGATGGTTTTTGTTAACCCTTCTCAGCCTTTCGAAATATTTTGGGATGAAGGAAACATGGTAACTTGAACCTTGTGTGTGGTAATGTATGAAACTGAATGAACTTAGTCAACAGAGAAACTAGCTGATATGTGGGTTGACCACCTCATGACCATAAATGAATGTGTGTGTGTGTGTGTGTGTGTGTATCTGTGCGCACACACATACATAGACACACAGAAGAGTTGACATAATCAACATCTCCTCCGACTGATCGTGCTCATAGCCATTATATATACATTGGGGTTACTTTGAATGGATACCAAAGTTACTACACATTTAAATTCTGGACTATTGTTCGGTTGCACTTAATTTGTCCCGCACATAAACAAACACAAGTTATTATGAAGAAATTCTTCCTGACTTTTAAAAAGAATATTCAAATAATGCTCTCTTTGGGCGGGGGGGGGGACATTTACTACTATAACTGAACTTAAGTGAGATACCTTTTCCCCTACTTTCTAGTAGTCTTCCATTAAGAAATAAATAAAAATAAACTGAAACCCTTTGGTAGTTCTAAGTAAGGGACATTTCTCACCCTTCTCCTGAGTACCTTGCATGTGTGTTCTAGAAAACCCCTAATTGTTAGGCTCTTCTTGTCTTTCCAGATCCTATGCAGTCATCACTTCTTCCTTTCCCCACTTCTCTCCTAGCAGCTGGCTGCTCACTGTCCCACTTATTCCAGAGCATAATCTGCATTGCTGACTAATCTCAGAATGAATTGCCCATGTATACATTCCACTGTGTGTGTGTTCAGATTCTCCTGTAATCTGCTATTAAATTATAGCTTCGCCATAGGTAAAAACATTCTAGACAAGCGAGCTAAATGCATTGGCCAGGTGCTTCTAAGCCCCCCGCAGTTCAGCACAATTAGTAAGCATGCACACTTTCTCTGCCGGCGTGATGGTCTTTCTTGTTTTCCCCTTACTTTCTTTTACCATGAATCACCCTGATTTTTTCCTGTCTTTATCCCAATCTCAACTCATCTGTCAATCGGTGTTGATGACATTGGGGTAAAAAGATTAGTAGTAAGTAAACCGTAGATGATTAAATGGCATTGAAGCCAACTGGAGCTTCAGGCCGTCTTTGCTCAGCCTCTCTACACGTAGATAATTACCACCGATTCAGTGATTCAAAGATGGGGAAATTCGTGTTTCTGATTGCCCCTATACATAAATCAGTTCGGCATATCATAAAGTGGGACGGTTTGAAAAGACCCGTGTGGCCATTTTATTTTTTCAGTAGGATGCTTCTCGGGGAATACATATTGGGTGTAATTTGGAAGAGATTTAAGAAAAATATCTCTTTTTCCCAACAACAACCAGAAACGGTGCATTTCAGAACTATCTAACGCTGAATAATGTGTAGTTGGTGAGTTAAGCAGATGGGGGGGGGAGTGTTTCCAGGAAATTAAAGATGGCAGCTTTGAGTCTCGTAGAAGCATCCGCCATCTTGAATTTTCTTGATGTCCTTAGGCTCTACTGCCCCCTCCCACCCCCATGAGCAGCTCCGTTGCTTTTGATACGACTCAGGTTTTGTTCTATGCAAAAGGCTATTATTCATCCTACTACACCAAGATGGCAGGCTGAAGTTCACAAGAATAAGTGTTTTCCTAAAAATAATAATAATTCCACATGATAAAAGCTGCACCTCAAGCCAAAAGGTCCAGGCCTCAGCATTTTCTCTTTGCTTCCTATTTACGAGATGGTAAGAATGTCTATGTCATGTGAGCCATATCACACTTGAAGTAGTACTGCCCAGGGGCAGCATATTATTAGTTATGTAAATACTTGGTACACAGGTAGGACCCATCATGGCATACAAAATGAGGAAAACTCTTTTTGACTTCCACATTCTAATCTTAATAGCAAAGTGATTTAATAGTAATTTACAGCTTTTGTTGGTCTTTTACAAGCTAAAGGCAGTGATGGGATGGGATTCAAATAATTTAACAACCGGGTCTCTGTCCTAATGACCAGCTGGGTAGGCAGGGCTCGGTGGTCCTGTGATGGGGTGGGCATGGCCAACTCAACGTCACTCACGTCGATGGGCACTTCGCCTTAGCTGTTACAATGTAGTAAGGGTTAACTGGAGAGGCAGTTTCTGTAAGCAGGGCAATAAAGATTAGGCTAGAAACACCACCAGAATGTTTCCTTCCTGCCTTCCTTACAGGATTAGCCCTGTAAAGTGGAAAAAAACAAAAGGAGATTCCTTCCAATAACCAGTTCTCCAAACTCCTTAGAAAGTTAACAACCGGCTCTCCCAAATAGGTGCGAACCGGCTGAATCCCACCACTGGCTAAAGATAAATAATTTCAATATTGCTCCAGAGAACAGAAATTGTTCCAAAATTTTGATGGGCTGTTTTAGCTGAATTACATCTTCCAAGTTCATTCCATATCATTGGGAGTGGGAAAAGATTTGTTCACGATTATGCAAACATTGGATTTTGGCTGCTTCCTTTCTTTGCTCATTGCATCTCTCCAGTAGTAAAATCCATAGTAAGTTTATCCACGAGAGATCGTTATTTCAAGGCTATGCACCAAACAGAAGAGCACTAGACTTTTTTTCCCATTTAGAGAGAAAAGGAGAGGCAGTGGGATGTAAGTAACTTAGATTGTTTCATCTTTTTTTTTTAAAGAGCAATAATTTACAAATGTATTACAGGCCATAACCAAACTTCACCACTGGCAGTGTTAAGAGAATAATTGAACTGGATCGTGGGAATTCAAGGCCTCACTTAACATAGCTTAAGCATATCATTGAATTCTTTACCAGAACAATTTTTCAAACCCAGGATAACTGCTTTTTCAGGAAGTTTATTTGGGGGGGAAAAATAAATAAATCTTAAGTTCTCCTTGAAGCACTGTATAAGAAAAGATAATTGTGTGTAAATTTTACCTGTTTGCAAGCAGGCTGGTTTGTAAAAGATGTACGTTTTTGGTGTTAAAAAGT